TTTCTGGCAGTATATTGATGATGGAACTTCTGGAAGAATCTCATTGTAACATAGTGTTAATTAGGTAAAGGTAAAGGTACCCCTGCCCGTACGGGCCAGTCTTGACAGACTCTAGGGTTGTGCGCTCATCTCACTCTATAGGCCGGGAGCCAGTGCTGTCCGCAGACACTTCCGGGTCACGTGGCCAGCGTGACGAAGCTGCTCTGGCGAGCCAGCACGGCGCACGGAATGCCGTTTACCTTTCCGCCAGTAAGCGGTCCCTATTTATCTACTTGCACCCGGGGGTGCTTTCGAACTGCTAGGTTGGCAGGCGCTGGGACCGAGCAATGGGAGCGCACCCCGCCGCGGGGATTTGAACCGCTGACCATGCGATCGGCAAATCCTAGGCGCTGAGGTTTTACCCACAGCACCACCCGCGTTCCATAGTGTTAATTAGTATTTAGAATTTTAGCTTGCTCTTTCCAGAATATTCAGGAAAAGTATTCCAGCAGTATTGCACTGCTTTAAAACTGTTTTGGAAGAGTGCTTCTTGGAAACTATTTCACTTAACAAGTTTCAGATTCCAGAGATTCTCCAGAATGCTTTACATCTGCAAGCTGTTAGCGTTAAAATAACTCCCTCCCTTGTGTCATCCTGGGATACAAAAGTGCTGCTGTTCTTAAAACTACTGATGTAATTGTTTATGGGTAAAGGATATTTTGTCACGATGAAAAATAATGGGTTACGTTTGTGGGTTGTCGGGTGCTGTGTTTGTCACCTGGTCCTTTGCCTTCCCTACCAAAATGTTTGTAGTAGTATTCTCTTCAGTTATCCAGATATACTAGAGATGGCAGTAATTAAATTTGGAATGAGGAAACACACTAAATCCAGATTTTGCATTGTTTTGCTTTTTGCCATGTGTCCCAGCACCACCCATGTAGGAACATAGGAAACAGCCTTGTACTATATCAAACCACTGGATCCATTTGACTGGAAGCCATTATTTCAGGCAGGGGGTCTCTGAGCCATACCTGGTGGTCTTGGGGATTGAACCTGGGGCCTTCACCAAGCAAGTGCTCTAGCACTGAGCTATGGCCCCTTTTTCATATTAAATTTTGAAGTTTTGCGTCATTTTATTAGTCCAATTCTAATCTCATCTAGACAATTGGATACACTACAGTTTGCTTTTTAATTAAAGGTTTGCTAACCAATGGCTCATTAAAGCAGCTCTGTATGGATTTAATAAACTTCGTGTTCACTTAGGAATGTAGTAGCAGCCCTTTACCCAACATTGATCAAGAAGTGCAAGGTAGTTCCTGAGAAGCAATTCGTCTCTTGGGATATCAGTTGTAATCTTCATAATGCCTTTTAATAAACATGTGAAATACTTTGGATTAAAAATAGAACAGGAGGCATGATGGGTGGATTAAGGCAGACCTGCTTTCCCAACATGTCACTTCAAGGGGGGAAAGTTAAAATGGAACGAAGACCAGTTGCCAGGTAAGGCCACCTGCTAGAGCAGAGGTGGGCCACCTGTGGTTCTCCAGATGTTGGACTTCAGCTCCCATCTGCTTCAGTCAGCATGGCCAGTGGCCAAGGATGATGGGTGTTGTAGTCCAACACCATCTGGAGGGCCATAGGTTGCACACCCATGGGCTAGAATCAGGCATAGGCAAACTTGGCCCTCCAGATGTTTTGGGACTACAACTCCCATCATCCCTAGCTAACAGGGCCAGTGGTCAGGGATGATGGGAGTTGTAGTCCCAAAACATCTGGAGGGCTGAGTTTGCCTATACCTGGGCTAGATGATACTCCAGAGAGATCTCCTTAATCTGGTGAAGCAGGCTAGACAGTTTTGGAGCTTTTTTAAAAAAAGAGAGAGAGAAAGATTGCCACTGAAGTAGCAAGTTTGTTCTAATTGGAAATCTAGAAAGCATTTTCTAAAGCCTTATGCCTTCCTCCTCTTGACTCACTTTGCTGGGGCATCTAGATTGTCCTCCTGAAATCACTTTATTATTGAGGCACATCTGGTTTGAGCAGCTTATTCATGCTACTTGTCTGGATAGTAGTTTGGAAGTGGTTACTTGGAGCTTATGGCTTTATAGAATAGTGTGTGTCAGTGCATGCAGAGAGCACGGTTTGGACTAGATTTTCATGCCCTTTCCAGCCCTTTGGTTTTGGGAGTTGGAAATCCCTGGGTGTTCTTGGCACAGTCATAGTAATTTTCCAGTCTCTGCCCATTTCTGCTAAATTTGTCAGAGGCCTTCATGTTTCTGTAAGTCTCACTTCCCATTTCTCACTTGCTGGCTGCTTTTTTTCTTCGGCGAAAGCTATCTTTATACATTGTGAATTTAGACAAATAAGCACATGACTAAAGCAATGAATACCTAAAATATGGCTTCAGATATTTAGACCTATATTACCGGGTGCAGAAGCACCACAGCATGGTCTGAAAGAAGTGTGCATGTGTGTGTCAGAGAAGCAAGGGCTACCATGACATGAAGCCCCCCCCCAGGTAAGAGTTTCTGGGTCACACAGTTGAGTAGGCTTGCCTTCAGCACAACTTGTGACCCACTAGGCAAAATGCAGCCCCTCAGCAATGTATTGTGGTTTGCATGGTGCTCTGTATACCACCCTGTTTTGCATTCTCAAGCAGGCACCAAAACCAGAAGGTGCCTGGAGGCTTTTCTGAGCTGTGTTTGACTTGGTGGGTCACAAGTTTCACCAGTCTTGATATTGATGCATGTAGAAAGCTTTCTGTCTTTGGACTGTCCTCTTGGACTGACTTTTCAGTGAGCTAACTAAGGCACACTGGTAGGTGGTGAGCTTTATCAAACTGCTTTTTAAATTCTAAAATACTAGTATTACACGCACAGAAATATAGCAGGTTTGGTACAAAAATAACAAAGAACTGGTAAAAAGGAAAGAGAACTCCTCCTTGCTACTTTCCCTCTGTGTTAGAAAGGCAATTATGAAAAGACTGCCACATGATATTCCAAGCCCACAGTTTCTCTTAAGATAAGGTAAGTCAGTTTTTCTAGAATAGCAATTTGCAAACCTGCCTAGCACCAATGATCCACGGTTATATTGGCTGAGTCCTTCCCACCTTGTGATACCACTAAACAGGCAGATACTATTAAATATATTACCAAAGGTTTCAATATTAAATTAGAATTACTATCTAGCAAGTGGCTTATTGAGCTGAAACAGTGCTGATGATAACAGAGGCTTCCTTTAATCTTTCAAAGGCATCTCTTCTCTTGGAGGAAATGCTACACAAGGGGCTGATCCCTCCTTCTTTCTCTTGGGATGAAACTACTTGTGTTGCAACCTTCTGGTCCTTACCCTATCTACTGAGTCACCTGTTCTAATTATGGGCAGTGATGCGGGATGGAAAAATTTTCAGTGATTTATTTTTCCATTTCATAAGTTCATTCATAACAATGGATGGATGCCAATTGCAAATACAATAGTAGACAAGTCTGGCAGTTTCAAAGTTGTTATTTTGCTTCTTTCTAGTAAAGAAAACTAAGTGTGCTAAATGAGATCACTCGGGGGGAAGGATGGGGAACTTCCTTCAGCAGAGGGCTGCATTTCCTCATGGGCAATCTTCTATGGGGCCACATACCAGTAGTTGGCATGGCCAGAGGCAAAAGTGGGCAGATGGCACACTTTAGTACTGTAGGCTATATTCAATCCATTCTAAATCCAGTGGTTATCCAACTTCAGGGACACAATTCAGTTTAGGCCAAAACACTTAAGGGAGAGGGTGAAGCAGGACCACTGAGGGGTGTGGCCCAGGGAGAGTCCCAAGGGCAATATTTATTTCTAGGCCTGAGGCTTCCTACCCCAACTCTAGGGGATCTTTCTAGGGAAAATTTCTAATTTTCTGATGGAAAACCCCTTTTAGTCTATCTTGGCAAGCAATAATTAACCCTGAAACTCATACAGGTGGTACCTAACCCCTAGGAAGCTGGCAGTGATCCATCCTGGCACCACCACATTGCTGGAGGCGCTGCCTCACACTTGGTACATATCTCCACATGTGGTGGGAATGTATGGAAATCCAGCCTTTCTGGAATTTGATATTCCAAGAAATTGATAAAACAACAAAGCAACAATTAGAAGTCAGGCCAGAATTAGCTTTATTACATATAGTTTAAGAAAACAATCTGGATTTATATAGTAAAGAATTAATTAAAGAATTAATAAGACATTAATTACAAATGGCGAGACACAATATAACTGACACTGGAAAAACCCTTTCTGGTACAACGATAGACATTTGGTACAAAACAGTTTGGAAAACAGCCCTCCATGAGAGATTCACAAATAACCTACAGTTGACACATGGACAGATAAAGAAAAAAATGGCTTTACTTTGGTGTTTACCATGGTTTAATTTCATAGCACATGCCAGTATTCCAGAAAATGAACAATCCCCCCACATCAGTATTTGGCTCAATCTGGTTGATCTAGATTTAAATCTCCCCGCTCCCCGGTTCATCAATAGACCAACACTTTATATTGTGTTGTTGGTAACATAATAGGAAAAGTGGCTTTTACTCATACTTAATCTAAGCACAACCACAAGGGCTTCTGATTAGGTTTTCAGCTGTTCGGTGTTGAATGTTATCTGTTAACTCAGTTCTATCCTGTTCCCCATTTGTTTTTGTTTAAACCAGTACACGAACAAACATTAATAATGAACCATATGTTATGGATATTACTACTAATGTTTATGCTATTTTTGTGATATACAAATAACATGAGAAGACTTGGTCTTTTATTTGTATCATTTGTTATTCCTATGATCCATGTTTACAAAATCCAGTGAAAAGTTTTTTTAAAAAAAAAAATCCTGATGCAACTTTCCCCATGCGAATTACCTTCAGTTTGCAAATGAATTTTTTTCAGTTCAAAACTGTTCTTGAAGCTCACATCACTGCTAATGGGTGACAGAAAATGGATCTGGGCATCTGGTGCACTTGTATTAATGTTTTCCCCTCCTCTTTTCGCAGGCTGGAAGTGATGGTGAAAGCATAGGCAACTGCCCCTTTTCTCAGAGACTCTTCATGATTCTGTGGCTGAAAGGAGTGGTATTTAGTGTAACAACAGTTGACTTGAAAAGGTAGGAAACATGACACTCCCTTACATTTCTACTTTATATCTGGTTATCTTTGAGAGATTTAAGTAATAGGGTCTTCTTTCCTACACAGCAGATTCTTGCTGCTGCTGCTGCTGCTGCTGCTGCTGCTGGTGCTGCTGGGGGGAGATAAATCCTGTGCTTTCTTAACATCTTGAAGATTTATAAACCTCTGTATCAGAGAGTTAATATCAGACATAATAACTGAAGCAAGGATATGTTATGTGGAAAGTTGGAAGATGTAAACAGTACAGTGGTACCTTGGGTTAAGTGCTTAATTCGTTCCGGAGGTCCGTTCTTAACCTGAAACTGTTCTTAACCTGAAGCACCACTTTAGCTAATGGGGCCTCCTGCTGCTGCCATGCCGCTGGAGCACGATTTCTGTTCTCATCCTGAAGTTATTAACCCGAGGTACTATTTCTGGCTTAGCGGAGTCTGTAACCTGAAGCATATGTAACCCGAGGTACCACAGTACTCCAATTCTCTGAATAACCTGCATTAATAGGTGCTGTCAAAAGCTAATGAATTATATTTCTTCATCTGCACAGCTTCTGTGGCATATCCTTTGTAAAAGGATTTTGTCTTTACACCTCACAGAGCTACAATTCCTAGCAGTCTTAAACTACAGTTCCCAAGATTCTTCTCAACTCAGCTAGTTGAGTGCCTGTTGAAAGGAATGATGACTTGGACTTTAGGAAAATAGCTCAGATTAGTGTGGTTGCCTGCCATGTTTGTACTTCTGTGCTCATTTCATTGAATGATATTTTTATTTAAGGCATTTATGCTTAATATTTTTAAAGAAATGTTATCTTAATAAGGTAGCTATTCACAACTGCTCTTCTGCTTGTATTGTATTACAGCTCTGTTAATGAGGTTCAAAACTTATTTTTCTTTTGCTAACGAGATCAGGATTTGGACTTCACATTGTGCTGGGCTCTTCCCGGTACAAAAGTTCACAAGCAAGCAATTGTGGGGCACAGGAAAAACTTAAATCTTGCAAGCTTGTTGTTCTGTGACATGCTTTTTCCTTTGTGCAGTCTTGTTAAATATAGCGCTGCTAACAAGAGGTTATTTCCAGTTAAATTCTGCTAGTAGCTAAGGCCACAAGCAAAAATATGTGTGGACTAAATGGAGACACACTTAGCGCCCCCCCCAAGTGCTCATAGGTTTTCTGCTTCTCTGTAGTCAGTAAAGACAGAGGCTTCATTCTTTTCCCTCTTCAGGAATGCAGCTTGTGTTTGTGTGCAAGAATTAGACTTCTTTTGTTGGCCAGAGCATAGCTGCAGTGTGCAGAATTTGTTCGAGAATGCAGGGCAAGCTTTTGGCTTTGATTTTTTTTAAAAAATTGCTTGAGGACTACTTTCTTAAAAATGAACTGAACCCCCACCTCCAAAACCCTGAGCAAGTACTTGTCCGATGGTGTTCCAGGAAATCCTGGCATTCCCCATAAGTCTGGAAGCTTCTCTGTCAGCAATAACATTCAGGAAAGCATGCATGATAGTTTACTTCCGCTTTACTACATGTTCTTTTCAATGTACATGCTGTATTCTAGGGTGCATTTGGCATGACAAAAGTGCTAAAGTGGAGGCCAACAGGCCTAGCAAGCTGAGAGTGCTCCTAGCAGGATCCCTTTCCAAGTTGCAAGGAGTCTTTGGCAAATAATGAAAGGTTGGTAAACAAAATAGGAACATAAGAGCAGCCCTGCTGGATCAGGCCAATGGGGCATTTAGTCCAGTAGCCTGCTCTTAATGTGGCTAATGAGTTGTCTATGGGATGCCTATAAGCAGGACAACAGCCCTTCCTCTGCATGTGACCTCCAGCAACTGGTCTCCAGAGGCATACTGCCTCAAACTGTGAAGGGAGAACATAGCTATTGTGGCTTGGGGGCCATTGATAGTCTTGTCATCCATAAAGTTGTCTAATCTTTTAAAGCCACCCCAGTTGGGGGTCATCACTAAATTGAAGCAAGTTTCCTGAAGGTAGAAATCTTGAAACCAGTTGTCTAACCTACTGACTTGGTTATGTCATTTAGTGATGCTGCTGAGGTGTAGAATTGAGAGGTTCAAAAATGAACTCTTGCAACCCCTGAGCCAATATACAGCAAAATCCAGACACCTGATATGAGTCTGACTCTTAATCGGTCAGCCCACATGATTACACACTGCTGCTGTTGCTGAAGTGGCAATGGGGAAGAATTATGATGAGACCAGTTAGTGATTAGAGCAGGGGTCAGCAAGGTTTACCTTGCCTGGGCTGGTTCACTCCAGTGGAGATCCCTCTGTGGGCTGGATCTCGCGCATGCCCATGATTTCTGGCAACTGCGCCTGCACAGACGTGATTTCCAGCGTCTCTGCAGATGCAATTTCTGGTGCTGCGGAAGTGAGTCGATGTGCTGCTCCGGTTTAGCGCAGTGCACAGGGACTTGCTGAGCAGGCGGCTCGGTTCGGGGGCAGCTCGTGGGCCAGTTAAACGACTCCCATAGGCTGCCAACCCCTGGTTTAGAGGAACCATATCCTCAGTGGTTCCTGATGGCTAATGGTTAAATGCTCAACCAGAGGTTGCTGGACTGCAGCTTCCATTTCTTCTCTCTTCACCATGCTGCCTGGAGCTGATGGGAGTTGGATTCCAGCAACAACTGGCAGACCACAGGTCCCCCTACCCCTGCTGTAGACCCCGATGGAGGCTGTCCCACCATCAGGTTAAGATCACTAGGGATTATTGGTGGAGGGATGTAGCTGTAGGTTTGTGGAGAAGGAATTGCCCAACTTGGGTCTGAGGTTAAGCAAGTTAACTTTGCATCTGTTCTAGTGCGAACCTAGTGGAACTTGTCTATTACAAATGTATAACCTGTCCCATAGGCTGCCTTTTTATAACTCTGGCCAGCCTATTGTCTGGGCACTTGTCCAGTGAATCTTTAAAAAACCCACCACCAAGTGACGCATGCTATAATGACTCTCAGCTTGAGCCACTCCCTCTTTACTAGCCTGGAAGAAATGGAAGTTCTTTTTACCAGGGTATTTATAGCAATGTTCCATAGGTCACTGTTGTCTGTTACTTTTTTGGGACTTAACAGCCTCCACCCAAGACACACAAAACTTGCTTTTGTCCTCTTTTGGCCATCTCTGTCTTATACTTCACTCCGAGTTGGGTAATAGCCCAGATGCTTAAGTATTTTATTAAGTCTCTTTAAGAACTGGCCTCTTGCTCCCAACTACTCCAGTCTATCTTGCTTGCCTCAGGTGAGAGCCAGTGTCATAAGAGACAGTGGATGTGTGAAATCCAGGTTCAAAACCCTACTTACTTCATGGAGCTCCCTGTGTGGCTTTGAGCAAGTCAGTCAATACCTAGGCTGAATCTGTCTCACGGGGCTATTAGAAGACATTGGGGTAAATCCTGTATCCTCCACTGAGCTTCTTGGAGGAAGGATGGGGTACAAGCTTGGGGCTTTTGTTGCATGTAAATCAGAGCAGGGTTTCCAGTATATAGAACAGTGTTCTTGTTGAGACACAACAGGCACCCACAACCTACACTTTGCAGAGACAATTGACGACATTTCTGTCCCAACCAGCTTTCCCAGCTGGATGAATGTCTCTGCTGTGGGTGTCTGCTTTGTATTGTTTTTAAATTTATCCGGAGTTGTTTTTTGTATCTTAACTGCTTTAGCTGCTACTGCTATGCGCTCTACGTGGGGCTACCTTTGAAGGTGACTCGGAAACTACAACTAATCCAGAATGCGGCAGCTAGACTGGTGACTGGGGGCGGCCACCGAGACCACATAACACCGGTCTTGAAAGACCTACATTGGCTCCCAGTACGTTTCCGAGCACAATTCAAAGTGCTGGTGTTGATAAGTGCTGCTAATATTGAGTTCTTTACATTGTATGTTGAGAGGTGTATGTGCAATGCCATAAATCAGGCATAGGCAAACTCAGCCCTCCAGATGTTTTGGGACTACAACTCCCATCATCCCTAGCTAACAGAACCAGTGGTCAGGGATTATGGGAATTGTAGTCTCAAAACATCTGGAGGGCTGTTTGCCTATGCCGGCCATAAATAAATGGTAACTGTGTAAATAGCCCACGAAAGTTGTAAACCTGCATATATTTGTTGTTGTTGTTTTTACTCACCTGTTAATAGGCTGCATGCTATGCTGGTCACAGAGGAGGATTGGCTGCCTCTTCCATTTGGGGCCATCCCTGGAGTGTGTGTGTGTGTGTGTGTGTGTGTGAGAATAGGAGCTACTTCCCCAGCCCTGTGCCTAAGGCAATGGTGGGACACACACACTGTGATTTGCCCAACCTACCACCACCACTTGGGGACAGCCCTACCGACTAAAAATGAAATGTAAGCTACTACCTCTGAGCAGATGAGTGAAAAAATAAATAAAACAAAAATGACCTCCTAGCAAGCAGACGGATGGAGGGGTCCTGCTCCATCCCTAGCTAGTCTGCTGCATTTCTATGATGGTTTTGGCAGTAGAGGCTGTTTGTCCTTCCGCAGTTCTCACAGAAACCATCCCTCCTCCACTGCCAGCTTGCTCACTTCCCTACATGGAATTCAATGAAGTCTCCCACAATGAATTTAAATTGTTAAATTCAAGGCTGGTATAGTGACAGTGGTATAGTGGTATAGTGACAGGTTCCCTTCCCATGGATGCACAGAAGACGAGTTAGTAGTTACAGTATGGCAGTTGTGGCCCATACAGCTGCATCACTTGCAGCATGGGTGGGAACGCCTGTTAAATGGATGTGGTTTCAGCTGTGTGCCATAGGAAAGGCTTAAAGAGCACTCGCTTGTGGTGAGTAAGATTGGCCTCCAGGCAGGGGAGGTTTTTTTGTAAATGGGATGAGAGTTGGCTCTTTCAGGCTCTTGCACACCTATTATGTATACTAGTATCTGTTGGCAGGCAGACTGGTACAAACTTTGCAATGTCTTTGAATTAGGCCGCCAGGCTAAGACATCATGCACACTTTTGAGTAATACGATTACTCGCATACGCTTATTTCGCATTCTCTCTCCTTTCCTTAAAAACGGCCTCTACCTCGGCCAGAACAGTACTAGACTATCCCTAGAGATGCAGGGTATGGGTTTGCTATGCTTCTACATAACAAAGTTGGGAGCCACCCACACAGCCTGAACCTATGGTGTTAAACTGGGAGCTGACATTGACCATAATTCTTTAGTGCAGAGTGACTTTCTGTTGTTCTCTGGTTAACATCCTAAATGCTTTGCATTGGAAAGCAGAGTGGAAAGACGCTTCAGTTTTATGCCAAGTGCCAGAAGGATTGGTTTGGAAAGAAGATGCTACAGATTCCTAATAATAATAAAAATAATAATAATAATAATAAATTTGACATCATTAGCACCAGATGTGTTTCACTAAAAGCTCATTTAGACTGGTGCAAACATGCAACATAAACAGGTGTGGCCAACAGGGAAGAAGGGGTAAAGGAGGAAACTGTAAGGGAACTGACTAGCTCTGTTGAGGATGCTTAAGGGGGATTGTGACAGCAATAGGTTTAATTTGTCTGTTTTTGGAGAGGGGGTGTAGTTTGCCAGAAGCCCCACCCCCTTTCAGAACTTGTTTTGACATTTGCTGAGGGTTCGGTCTTGCCTGCTCCCAGAACAGAATGCACCCTTCACACCTGAAAGGTATGATTTGCCACTATTTTTCCCATCTGAAAAGAACCTCCTCTAACCAATGGGAGAAATTGGAGGAGAGCCACTCCAGTAATTTTCTGTAATTATTGTGGGTGTACACAGCAGTGTTTTAATTGAAGCTTAAGCTACTTAAGGTATGAAACTGACTCACAAATCTCAGCAGCTTTTTGGAGAAGGACAAATTAGGAACACTTTGAGTGTGTGCACACAGTTAAGGGCAGGTTTGTGGCAGCTGAATGTTCTGCTCTTATTCTCTGCCATAAAACAAAAATCTGGGAGAGGCTGAATTGGACTAGCCGCTAGATGGATCAGTGGTCTGACTCAATGTAAGGCAGCTTCCTGTGTTCCTGAATTACTGAATAGTGGTTTTGGTGTAACATTGCACAAAATTCATCTACCAAGAAATGGCATGACTAGCGTGTAAAAGAAAGGCCTATTATTGCTAAGGCAATACTTTTTAGGTAGGACCAACAAAATTGTCTCCCAAATACTGAGTAAGCTTTGGAGTTTTCCAAATTATTAACCAAACTAGCACTCGGGAGGTGGAGGATATGAAAACAAACCCTAACATGCAAAAAATTAGGCTGCTGGGTGGAATCCCAAGATAACAGTTGTAGGATGGCTGAATTAGTCTAGTCTCTGATAATACTTGTGTGTATCCTTTTATACCTGGGATCCTGGGGTGAAGAAGCAGTGGCTGATCAGCACTTTTTGATAACTTAAATCTAGCTTTGGCATGGGACACCTTGTTTTTTTGGAGAGCCCTGTTTTCTCATTCTTTGAAAACTCTAAGCAGATGGGAATAATGGCAAGACATCAAGCTGTGGCTGTCCTTGCTTTCGAAGTTTCCCCTGTTCAGAGGAGAGGTCTGGTGGCTGCCTTGTGTTGATTCTTTTCCCCTTTTAGTTTTGCTTGTTAGTTTATACATCTGTTCAGCTCCCCATGGCTTTTCAGGCCATTTGTTGTACCAAGCTTCTGCCTGTCCTGATTGCTGCATGTCTCGTTCAGTGCTAAATTCTAAAACTGGTTTTGTGTGAAGATCTTGTGTGCTTCTGGCTTACTAAAATACTGGCTTAATACCCTGCAAAGTGCAATGCTGAGGTCAGTTCATGATTGACTGAGCATCCCTCACCGAACCTCAAATGTGGGAAAGTCAGCTAAGCTGGACATGAAAGGCTGTACTTTTGTTTTTTGCATCACTGAGTGATTGCCAGATTTTTACCACTGGACTGATGGTGGGAAGGTGGTTTTCTTACGCCAAATCAATGCCGGCGGTTCACTTTACTGGTAGTGCTGTCTCTGCAGAGTTTCCCAGTGTAGGTGGTACAGGTCAGATGGGCATTGTGTGTGTGCCTCAGATGGGCAATAATCCAGGGCAGCGCTAGACATTATTGTTGCAGGAAGCATCAGCTAAGCTTTATTGTGTTAGCACAACATGCAAAAGTGTAGAAGCAAAAGACATACATTATTAAGTGCCCAACTATGTGCATGTGGAGAAATCTAGCTTAATTGGGGTCCCCCTGAAGGGATATATATAGGGACTTAAAGATGCGTATATGCACAATTTACTTCTGCCCTTTGCATGTTTTGCAGCAGAAAGTACTGATGTAAGACTGATTCACTTTGTGACAACCAGAATTATTTAGCGAAGGTGGAAAAGGCCACAGCAGTGCCAACAGCTTCCTCCAATGTCTGAGGTTTTGCCCCTGCTTCACAAAACTGGAAGCAGCCACCTGCTGCAGGATGTTGACTGAAAATCCTATTCAGGTGTACAGTATAGTCTGCCTCTTTGTTCCCAGTGGTTCAAGGCAGCTTACCTCTCTGTACAGGCTCCCACTCTCTACTCCTGCTTTGATCTCCTTTTAAAGCCTTTGTACACCACTGAAAATTGCAACCGCAACATTAATGTTCCTTTCACTATGTCCACTAACAGCACCTTTCCTCCAATAACTCCCATATCCCCCCTTTTTAAAAGTCCAAACTTCTCAGTGTCTGTCTGATCTCACTGTATTCCCCAGTGCACACAAACTTTCAAAGTAGTTTGCCCCTTCATGTAATTCCTTTAAATCTGTGTTGGGGGAAAGGAGGCCCAGCCTGCCCCAGAAGGAAGCAGGCTTGATGGCAGCTGAGTGTCTGGTTTGAGGAGCCTGGATTGCTTTCCCCCTGCAGGTCTAACTGCCACTACAGTCTCTTGAAATAGGACTGTGCCAAACAAATCCACACTTGCCCTGGGTGGTGAAATTGTTTTGAGCTAGGGAAGTGTTACTGTCGGTTGGGGGGAAGATTAATGGCTGGAGCATAGTAACTAAATATTTCCCCTAGAGGAGTAGCTCTAGTCCCAAATTTGATGTCATAACCTGCTCTTGCACATTTTGCTAAATGTGTTTTGGCTTAACAGACCAACCCCCACAATGGAGCTCCTCTCCTTGTGTTAGCCTGCTTGTGTGCATATGTTGTACTTCCTGTGGAACAGAGATTAAGACAACAGAGCCTGTATCAGCAGAACGCAGTCTTCATGGCACTATACAGATGCGTTTAGGTGTAGGTGGGTGGAACCTCAAAAATCCAGTTAGCCAAAGCTGTGCCCCCGCCATGAGCCAGATAGGATGCATCACGTTAAATGTTACCTGCATGCATCTAAGAAATGTGCAAAGCAAGGCGTAAAGTGAGCTTATGGGTGAATATGACACGTCCTATGGAAGTGCAAGCACAGAGAGCTGATCATAATTTTGCTGATTTTTCTCTTACAGGTTTATAAACCATTTCCCAGCTTGAATAATAAAGACATTTCTAGCTTTCCAAATTAGTTTGAAGATTTTACTACGTAGTTCTTAAAAGTAAAATTGTGCAGCATATCTCTGGTTGGATATGTTGTGCTCTATCAAACCTGCTGGCAAAGTCCTTGGAGTTCAGGATTCCCAGCGGAGCCACCTTCTACCTCAGGGACACCCCCATGTCCTAAATTGTCCTAATTTATCTCAGGTTAAAAATGGTTTTCCCAGAGTACTTGGGCCATAACTGCCTTATGTCTAAAAGAGGATTAGACAAATTCATGGAGGGTAAGGCCATCAGTGGCCAGTAGCCAGGATGGCAGTGCTCTGCCTCAATGGCCGTGGGCAGTAATGCTTCTGAATGTCAGTGGCTTGAAGCCACAGGAGGGGAGAGTGCTGTTGTGCTCAGATCTAGCTTGCGTGTGCTTCCTATAGGTAGCTGGTTTGCAACTGTGAGAACAGGAAAGCTGTACTAAACGGCCCACTGGCCTGATTCAGCAGGCTCTTATGCTCTTGATAGCACTAACTATGACTCTGCTGGAATTGCTCAACATACTGAAAGTTTTAATGTAGACAACTCTACTCTTGCAGGAAACCTGCAGACCTTCAGAACTTGGCACCGGGGACTCACCCGCCCTTCATAACATTTAACAATGAGGTGAAGACAGATGTGAACAAAATTGAAGAATTTCTCGAAGATGTCCTCTGCCCACCCAAGTAAGTGTCACTAATGAGGGGAGGTGTATTGCAGAAAGCTGTTTTGGTGGTGGTGGTCTTTGCCAATTCTCAGGATGGTACTTCTTAATCCTCTATATTGCTATGTACTCATTATGCAAGTTACCGTATTTTTCGCTCTATAACACGCACCAGACCATAACACGCACGTAGTTTTTAGAGGAGGAAAACAAGAAAAAAATATTCTAAACAAAACAGTGGATGTATGATTTTTGTGGTTCATGCTGTGGCCACAGACATGTGATCTGACGGTGAGTTTGGGGTAGCCCAATGCAAAAATCCTGAGGATCCATGTGGATCCATGCTAAAGTCGCCCTAAAGTCGCAGGGGCGCTGGGGGAGTGAACAGGAAGCAGGAGGAGGAGAACAATCCCTCTCACACACACACAGACACACACACACACACACACACACACACACACACAGAGTATCAATCCTAAAGTCGCAGGAGAGCGCAGGGGCGCTGGGAGTGGGAAGCAAGAGAAGGAGAACGATCCCCCCTCTCTCTCTCTCTCTCTCACACACACAGTATCAATCCTAAAGTCGCAGGAGAGCGCAGGGGCGCTGGGAGAGTGAAGGGGAAGCAAGAGGAGAACGATGCCTCACACACACACAGACACACACACACACACACAGAGTATCAATCCTAAAGTCGCAGGAGAGCGCAGGGGCGCTGGGAGTGGGAAGCAAGAGAAGGAGAACGATCCCCCCCTCTCTCTCTCACACACACACAGTATCAATGCTAAAGTCGCAGGAGAGCGCAGGGGCGCTGGGAGAGTGAAGGGGAAGCAAGAGGAGAACGATGCCTCACACACACACAGACACACACACACACAGAGTATCAACCCTAAAGTCGCAGGGGCGCTGGAAGTAGCAGGGGCGCTGGGAGAGTGAAGGGGAAGCAAGAGAAGGAGAACGATGCCTCACACACAGAGAGACACACAGAGTATCACTCCTAAAGTCGCAGGAGAGCGCTGGGGCGCTGTGAGAGTGAACAGGAAGGAGGAGGAGGAGAACGATAGCTCAAGCACACACACACACACACACACAGCCCCTACAGTGGCTGATCCAAAATCGGACAGCAAAAAACTGCAGGCAGGGACACGGGGTTGTTTTAAAGCAACCAGCCCCGATCTGCTTCTCTCCCTCCTCCCGGCTAGGCTGGCTGAAAAGCTTTGCTGCTACTTAGCAGCTCAGTGGAGAAGAGAGAGGGACATAGAGCACGGGGTTGTTTTAAAGCAACCAACCCCGCTCTGCTTCTCTCCCTCCTGCCCGGCTCGGCTCGCTGACAGGAGCCGCTTACACCCACTTTGCAGTTTCAAAGAGAGCCACGGACTGCTCACAACTGCAGCGGATTCCCCTGCCATCTGTAGGCATTCGCTCCATAACACGCACAGACATTTCCCCTTACTTTCCAGGAGGAAAAAACTGCGTGTTATAGAGCGAAAAATACGGTAGTTGCAAGCTTACTTCATCAGCAATAAGAGATGGCAACTGTACATTATTACAGGCTTAGGGCTAAAAAGCTGTTCCTACCCTATCGAAGCTGTATCTTTGTGCAACAGAGGCAAAATGCATAGGATTTCAAATTTCTGACCATGGGGTTTGCTTCAGCCAAGCAGGTCGTGGAGCCACACCAGTCAGCTTCTCTGTTGCCTTGACTCCCCCTCTTTTTCTTCCTTCCCATCAAACTTCTCACCAAACCCCTGGGCTATTGCACTCTTGGCATTGCTCTTTCCTGCTAGGGTGAGCAAGGATCGGATCCGAAAGTTAACTCTTGGTTAAGCATTTCTGTGACCTGAAAATTATTAAACGCAACAGACTGGCAAGCAGGTCTGAACAGAAAAGAGTCTTTGTGTCTTCATTCACTTGTAAAAGGAGAGACCAAAGGGGATTGATGATTACCAGCGATTGCCATCTTAAAACTCAACATGAAGCTGGCATTACTGATATTGCCGATACTTGGGATAAAACCAAGTCTATCTTCTTGGTTTAAAGTCTTGTTTTCCACAATAATTTTCCTTAGCATTTACAAACTCCTTAAGAGTACGTAGGGGTGTTCTTGTTCTGTTTGAATTTCATAAGGTGAAATGCAGTAGTTTCCATACAGACTAGTAACCAATTCACGGTATTTTTCTTTTCCAACATGGCCCACAAATTTGCCTGCAACTAGTATCTTCTCTTTAATTCTGGAGAAATCCCCTGAGTTTTCTGTCCTCATGCTGAACTTTGGACAGACTTTGAAGGCAATGAGATGCCTCTCTGCATGGTCTGAGTGATTTCCTCCCCCCTCTTCATCCTTCTACTGCCTCATGGGAGGGAGGGAGGAGGGAGTCGCCCAGACCTTGTGTCTCTTAAGTGGCGCAGTGCCAGTGACATCTTGCAGAGCTTTGAGGCTCTCCAGCACCTCTGTGGCTCAGTGCTTGCATAGCCTGATTGCTGGGAGAGAAGGGAAAGAATTTGGGCATTAGAGTTGTTGGCACACCTTCAAAACTCACCACAAGCCCATGTGGCGATCACAAACGGTGACTGGTTGTGAGGGTCAGCTAAAATGAGTGGACCCTGGGATGTCAAGGTGGGTGTTCAGTGTCCTGGTTGATAGCTTTTTAGAAATCAGTCACTGTTTCACAACTAGATTAAATCAGAACTTTAGCTGTACCCATATTTATTCCAAGGTGAGTTGAGCAAGGGGTTATCCCTTTTTTCAATGGAAGAAATACTGAAATTGTCTCACTATGTGCATATTGGGACTTTCTGGAATATAACTTCAGCGCTAAACATGTTTCTGAAGGCTTGTCAAAAATATGGGCAGATCTGGTACTTGGACAAAATTCTAAACGGTTTGCTGCTCAAGTAGCAACGTATTTTTAAAAGTTGCATCCATTTAAATATTTCTCAGGGGAGGGCAGAGCTCCATGTGCTAACTCTGCAAATCTGTGGAATTCATTACGAGGGTAAAGCAGCATTTCTAAGCCACCACACTTCTTGCGTAATGTAATTGGCCACTGCTTGCTTTGGCAAAATTTCAGATGGCCTCTGACACTGAATGAATGACTCCTGTGAGTTCAGGCAGATGGAACTCTCTCCCATGTGCTCTGAGAAGAGCACTGGAGCATTATGTTTGTTTGTTTCAGGTGCTTAACACAGGAACAAGGTTGTAGTTATGCTGCCACTGTGCTCTTCCCAGCTTGCAGGAAGGATGAATTAAGTAGCTACAAAGCGATGATGCAAATATGTGCCATCAGTAATAAAACATTCTGGAAGGAAATATGCCCAACTTATATGGTACAATGCCATGCTGCAATTGAAATCACACTGTAAATTCATATACAAATATATATGTGTATATATGTTTCTCTTCAGGTACACAAAGCTTTCACCAAAACATCCAGAATCAAACACTGCTGGAATGGACATCTTTGCTAAATTTTCTGCATTTATCAAGAATTCCAGGCCAGAAGCAAATGAAGGTAGGAAATCTATTTTTGAGTGTTTTATGTGGCATTAGCTCTCTTTGCTATCCATCTCCCCCTTCAGTTTCTTAGCTTGCCCAAGTAGAGGTTTCTCCCAAACACAGACTTCCTTAAGAAGTGATCTCATGTTTTGCAATACATTCAGCAAAGCCTTGATTATCTTTCCGTAGCAGAGAAGTGGGGAGCAGAAGGTGCTCAACCTTTTTCCTGTGCCTTCTGTGTTCCAAATTACCCATACTGCTCCCACCTCCACCCCCGTTGCCACCATACGCTTTCAAATGCATGTTTATAACTCTGCAAAGGAAAAAGTGACAGGTAGCAGAGAAGGTGCAGTAATCAGACAGAATTTAACCCCCTGGCACATGTCCACTTCAAATTGTCTTATTCTTAACTAGCATTTCAGCAAAATAAAAAAAATGGAGTAGGGGACAGTATTGTTGGCGTTTTGGTGCGTGCATTTGAATAGAAGGCTTAGTGAGGAGGCTTTTAAAGGCTTCTGGACCAGGCATGGAAAGTCTGGTCCCCCCAGAAATTATTGGACTCAAATTCCCATCAGCCCCAGCCAGCATAACCAATAGTCAGAAGGGATAGGATTTGTGACCTGCAACATCTGGAGAGCCACAGGCTTTCCTGCCCTATTCTAGACCTTCGAGGGGCTGAAGTGGGCGATTCCACTGCATTAATGGCAATGGGATCAACATCTGTATGGCTGCCCTGCCGAGACTGCATTCAAGAGCATTGTTTATGACTTCTGAGCAGCAGGTGATCTCTAGAACTGCTCTCATGTTTGGAAGCAAACAAGGTATAGCTCATGTAGCCTATCCCAGCTCTAATTTCCTAAGTCTGGCCAATGCTGGAGTCCGCACTTTCTATATTGATCTTTGGTCTGAGGCATCAAGTAAAAGCTGGCCCTCTTGCCTGGTGGGATGAGACAGACCTCTGTGAATGTACTTTTGTAGCCAGAGACAAAGGGAAGCATATATCATCTCATGCAGGCAGATTCTGGGTACCATTGGAGGCTGCTAAATGGTAAACTTCATTTGATTCATACATGGGATACCACCCCAAAAAACAATAGTCTGGTGCAAGCCCTATTGAAATGAATGAAGTTCTATAGGACCCTGTGAAATGTTGAGCTTTGTGGTTTTTGTACGTGGCCCTTTTCTCAGGTAGCCAGCAAAACTGACACACCTAGTTTGTGTAGTGATGAGCAGCCAGTTGCTTCTTATTTTAAAGGCTAAGGCTTGTAGCCAATGTTAGTCCTACTCAGAGTAGACCCACTGAAGGACATTAATTTCAGTGAGTTTCCTCAGCCCTAATTTTTATCCTTGAAATGGGCAAATACGCTTCCTTTGTCATTATGCCTAAGGATTGTCCTTCCATAGCTTCTGTCTTTCACTCATCTGGAAAATGCATTATGGTCCTTGGAACTGACTCCCACCTTTTGAGCAAAGGCCCAGCTGTTTCCTCTCTCCATCCCTTGATTTGAAGTTCCGGGCTTTTCACATTTAAAAGATGTGCCAGCTGTGTGCATGGGCCTCATGAGATTTTTGTAAGTTCTGCTGACAACAATGGCCCATTAAAGTTAATCATAAAATCGCCAAAGCTGCTAAAAAAGCGTTGGAGTCATTGTTTGCGCAACCACCTTGCTTACGCTCAACAGCCCTTTTGCTGTTGCATTCTGAGAGCAACTGTGTATCCTCAGGACCGTCATTCACATCTATTTGTATTCAACAGCATATGCTCATCAAAAGCTAGCAACTTATGTTGCATGGAATTGGAGTTGTTGCCTCGCCGACTTCTGTTTGAATTTTGCACCATAAGTGCCTCTGGCCAGCTCTTGATAGCTATAAATTGGGCTCATGCTGGAACTGCTGTCCAAGGATTATTATTTGGCTAGGGGTGTGGAGAGGAAACCCGCATTAAAGTGAAATTGTACAGACACAAAGCATGGAACTGCTTCTGAGTGAGTCTCAAAGAAGCCAATTCCATAGAATTTGCTACTGCATAACTAAGTTCCTGTGTTTGCAATCTTTTGTGTAGGTTAAAAGTTGCACATCACACAAAGTGTGTCTTAAAAGAGAAAAAGCTGGTCTTCTTTTTTCCAACCCTTTGGCATATCTTGATCATGAATTTTAAAAAGTTGGCTAGATTATAATTTGATAAGTCATCTAGAACATGTGCGCATCCATTTGCAGTATTGGTTCAGACAGTTAATGTCTTGTTGCACCTTTTTAAAGACAAGTGGATTTATAGTGATACAACCTTAAGTGTTCTTGAGTCCCTTTCATCAGATGCACAAAAGGAATGTTCAGTTTGCCTGCAAGCAAATATGCACAGATATAGAAGGAAATACTGAAATACGAGCTCAGTAGGCTGTAAAATGTGTTCATATGTGCACCCGCTTGCTTAGTCTTATGTATTCATGTACATCTGTTCCTGCTGCTCTATTTTTTCATGGCCATGTGCCGCCACTGTCCACAGCTTTATACGTAGGTGTATTTGTCAATTGAAGATAACATTTCTTGTATCGGATGAAGTGGACACTGGTCAACAAAAGCTCATGCCAAAACAAGTTTCTTTAATGTGCCACAAGCTGTAGTAGACCAATCTTCTGATAGTAAAGAGAGAGGTGAGCAATGGAATCCGAAAGACACTAAGCAGTAGCCATGTGTAGGAGGTGGGCAAGGCACTAGACTAGAAAAGCTAAGGTTCTTAGGGATGCTATGATCTACACCAAGAAGCAGATTCTGAAAAAAATGCAGCTATGATGAATACCCCCAGCCAGCTTTTTCTAAGGGCCAGCTTTCCATCATTTAGGAAATCTTTCCTCTATCCTGCCCTTTCCTATCTACTTTCCTTTAACTCAGGGGTGGCGAACATACACTCCAGCTCCCATCAACCCCTGCCCACATATCCAGTGGCTGGGGATGAAAGGAGCTGGAGTCCAACAACATCTGAAGGGATCCAGCTTCCCCGTCCCTAGTTTAGCCTAAACCTGTCCTTTGTGACTCTTGAGAAAATGTGGAATTTTTCTAGCTTCAGCTCCCCACCAATAATTAGTGAGTTGGCTGGAAAATTCTATACTCATAATTTTTATTGCCTGGTGTACCTACCGTTGGCATTTTCTCTGAAAGCTCTGCCAATTTTTTCCTCTTGTATCAAACAGTGTGCTACCCTTGGTGGTCTAAAAATGGCACTTAAACTGAATCCACAGACCTATAGACCTTGGATTATGTTTCCTGAGAAATCTGTGGTTGCTAGGCGACCTTTGCCACAGGGAGCTCATTGTAAGGAAACAATATTGACAGCAGTATCTTTTCCATGGTGCATTTTTTTGGTGGCTTTTGTACTCGGTTACAGTTTCTGTTCACTTTCTATCTGCTTTTTTCCTTTGTGGCCTATAAAATACTGTGCTTAGGGGTGGATTGGCCATGTAGGTTATTGCTTAAGTCATTTGCAAGGCTGAGCTACTGATGAGGATTGTCTCAGGCTCACCTTTAACCCTGAATATATCAAATAGTCCCAGTTCATGTATGCCCTGTGCTGAAGATCAGCATTCTACAGTTTAGCTATCTGCATTTTGTGATCTGTGGAAATCATGTGGAAATGCGCATTTTATTCTGCATAATTCTGCTCTGTAGTCCTGGGGGAGGAGCTGTATAGGGCACTCAAGTCCCACCCACTGGCAATCCTTTTCAAGTCTTCACAGCCACAAGGGCTAGAAACTTATTTTTCATTAGAGATTATTCTTAAAATTTTGCAGCAAGTATCTCATTCTGTGGCTTTTCTGGACTTGCATGGAATTGCAGCATACACATAGCCATGATTACTGAAAATAAATCCTGATGCCATTGAGTTTTTGGAAGGCAATATGAAGGCACAGGTCCAAGTAGGTTAATTTCCAGAATTCTGTGGAGTAGTCTTTGAGTACGGCAACTGACTCTCTACTTCACTTGGTTTCAGAGGAATTTGCTTTGACTATAAGCTGGCCTGTTTCTTCACTGTTCTGCCAAGTAGTGTCCAATGCCATTGCATGCCCAATGGCTGCTTCTCTTCTGAATTGGAGCAGGTGGGGGGAGTATTGCACACACCCAGAGGAGTTTTGCACCAAATGCTCCAAGGATTCTCCTACTCATTGAAGATATTGAGGGGGCGGGGCGGGGGAGGAAAAGGCTACTCCTGTGGAGTTTCTGGGAGGGAGCCATTGTCTTGAAGTCAAACTTACATCAGCATTGGCTCAAAACTGGAAACAACACTGTTGTGACTAACACAGAATGCATGCAGTAGATGGGAGAATTCCAAAGCAGACAATCCCACAGAATGGCTCATAGTTCTCATTCCAGGCTAAGGGCAATGCTTCTCTCTGAATTGCCATGCAAGATGTGCAGAGGTTAGTTGGAATTCATCTCAATGCTGCCAGAGCAACTTTACTCGATGGCACATTGCTCCCGCTATGAAATCTGATCTGGGATTTGCTTTTTCTACATCTTGCAGACCTTCCTGGGTTCAGTGGAGGCAGAGCTTAAGGGTGTAAAATGGATGACAGGTAAAATTAGATATATAAAAGATCAGAGGTTTGTTAAAAATTGGGAAAGTTTTACGAAATATCTGGAAAGCTTAACTGATGAACAGATAACACTAGCGGGTTTTAAAGGTGCTCTGTAAGAAGTAAAGGGTAATGCCAAAGGAAAACGGACGAATGAGAACGACTTACGGCATTACAAACAAGGAAACGCGGATTTATTGTTTATTGTTACTTTGGACGATTTGTGGAATGTCAGAAGGAAGTCTTATTCTTTCCTTTTTGTGAAACAATATGAGTATTGATTTAGTTTGTTTTGTGTTTTGATTTTTGTAAATCAATAAAAATTATGTTGAAAAAAAAAAAAAATAAGGGTGTAAAATCTTGTTTGCCCTAGCCTGTAGAAGCAACAAAGCCTTCATTACTTTGATTCATTAGTACTTGTAGACACGGGGTTTCTTTTGACATTCTAAAGTTTAGAAGTCATTGCTTGGATTGTCGAATTAGAGAAGGAGCATTGCTGATATCCTCTTTTTGCGGGGTTATGTAAATACTTCTCCAACCCTACATTCTTTTTATGGCCTTTCAAACAGGCGGGGCAAAGCTCTCTTTCCTGTAAGGAGAGAAATGTTGGTGAAGACTGCCCTCTGCTGTTACTTTAAAAACTAATATGCAACAGTAATGGAGCTTAAGCAGAAATTGAGTGCTTCATCGGGGCGGAAAGGGCCACATTCTAAATGGCACCCCAAGTGAACAGATTCTCCATTTTTTTGCTTGGTGGGTGATTCATAGATCGCTTGGCGCTGTTTCCATTGGGGGTTAGGTACGTAGGTTTCAACTGTGATTGATTTATCCAGCACCATTGGATTTCTTTCTTCCTTTTTCACTGGCTAACTCTTCCAGCCCTGGAGAGAGGCCTTCTGAAAACTCTGCAGAAGTTGGATGAGTACCTGAATACACCTCTCCCTGATGAGATTGATGAGAACAGCATGGAGGATATCGCAGCTTCCACCCGCAAGTTTCTGGATGGTGATGAGATGACGTTAGCAGACTGCAACTTGTTGCCCAAACTACATATTGTCAAGGTGGGTGGAACTACCTTGAGGGCTAGTTTACATGTGCACACGTTTGACGCTTGACTCAACTGAACGAGATAATTTCCTGTAGTGGCAAATGGGCTCTGGGAAATTCTATTGGGTGCCTGCAAACCTGCAAGTTGCCACTGATGCTAAGCTTCCTATGCATTTTGCAGGGAAGGGGCCTTACCCAACCCAAGTTGCATGCAGAAGGTTGCAGGTTCAATCCCTGTCTTACACTGTGTCAAATCATTGGCCTGTCTATCTCAATATTGCCTACACTGATTGGCAGCTGCTGTCCAGGATTTCAGTCTCTCCCAGCATTACGAATGGAAATGCCTAGGGCGAGTCGGGCGGCGAGAGGCGGGGCGGCGGCGGCGAGCACACGCGGGGCGGCGAGCGAGCGAGCTCCCACATCCCATCGCCGCTCGCTTCGGCCGGCCTACTGGAGGAAGGCGCGAAAACCCGGCGGGCTTTTGGGTGGGCGCCAAGCAAGAAAGGCGGGAAGGCTCTGGTCCCTCCCCTCCCGGCGGGGCTCCCGCACGCACCTTTCTGCGCCGCCGCGTCCCGCCTGAGCAGCAACAGGAGGAGGAGGAGGGAGGCCAGCGCCGGCCGGGTCCCCCGGGGGAGCGGGCGCTCCGGGCTGCTCACCATACCCCGCGTCTCGGGCGCAGCAGCCGGCAGTCCGAATGCATCCCGAGCCGCGCTGCTCTCGCCTTGCCTCCTTCTTCGCGCCTCCTCCCGGCTCGCGCGCCGTCCCTGCGCGGATCCGTCCAGCCTCCGGCCGCCGCCGCCGCCCCCTCCTCTTCCTCTCCTTCCCCCACCCACCAACCCGCACGGCGCGCTCCCACCGCCCCCGATGGGCGCAACCACTTCCGGGTCCGCTGCAGCCGCCCCTTCCCCGCCTCCGGCAGCCGAAAGTCCCCCAGCGGAGCCCGTCTGGCCGCTCCCCCCGCTCCCTGCCCACCTCCCGGTGTTGAGGCGCCCTCTTTCATTGCTTCGCGGGGAGGGAAAAAACTTTGACTTTTGTGCGTCCCTCCCGGCGTGACGCTGCGCGCTGACGTCACGGGGCGGGGCTTTAATGGTGGTGTGCCGCGAGATTTTTTTCCGGTAAACAGGTGTGCCGTTGCCCAAAAACGTTTGGGAAACACTGGCCTAGGATTGAACCTGGGATCTACCACTCTACCTCTGCTTTTACCACTGAGCTCCACCCCTTCCCCTTGATTAGGCAAGATGGACAACTAATCTGACTTGGTATTAAGCAGCTTCCCCTCTCATTGTTCTTCCCTTTCTTTGCTCCTAGGTTGTGGCCAAAAAGTATCGCAACTTCGATATTCCCAAGACAATGACTGGGATTTGGAGATACCTGACAAATGCCTATGGTCGTGATGAATTCACCAACACTTGTCCTGGAGACAAAGAGATTGAATTCGCCTACAGCGATGTAGCTAAGAGGCTCACTAAATAAGCAGTGTTTCGCACACATTTCATAACGAAACGCTTCTTTTAACAGACTGCTCCCCTTTTGTCTTTTTAAGATAGTGATTTACTTTGCATGTACTTGCAGTTATTCAGTGTTACATTGGGTAGACCAGGTATTTTTTCTCTTTCAAAAAATGCAAACCAATGTTATGCCGTTTGCTTGCTTTGTATCCTATAATAAGCAAGCTGAGCACAGCAGTTAATGTTGCAGTGAAGCAATTCTGGAACCTGGCCCAGAACTGCTGAGTGGGACCCCTACTTTTACTACCTGGGCCTGCAGATCCTGGGTCTCAATTAGGTAGGACAGCCATCTTACATAGTCCAAGGAACCGAGTGGTAAAGCTTTTCCTGGATTGAGCATTTCAGGTAGTGGGAGTGGAGTGCAAGTTTGAACACTTTCCCTATATTAGAAGGCACCTTCTCTCTCTTGTCTGCACACACTTGGCTTGTTGGGGAGATGGCTTCAGCATACTCTTCTCCCATAGAATATTTTAATGCGCAGAATTTTATTCATTGCAGAGCGAATACAGCCTCTGCAGCTCCAAACTTAGGTGATTCAGCCTAAGGAAAGGTTGTTGTTGTTTTTTACCACTTGCTTCTTCTGATTATATAAAGTGGCCTTTAAATCTCAAATTGCATCTTGGGATTTTCAGATTTGTCTAGGAAGCACTTCTTGGTGTGATTTAAGGATTATTTATGTATTTTTGAGATGCTGTTGCATACCAGAGCTCTCCTGAAACACTGTACCTGCTGGTCTGTCTGAACAGTGCACCAAAGTCTCTTACTGCCTCACCGAAAAGAGCTGCATGCAAAACCTTTGGGCAAGCATGCCTGCTCATGAGGAAAAAGGCACATTTCAACAAGTTCAAATGCCACAAGCTGTGACCCATAGACACCAGGAACCCAATAAACTGTGTTCTTGGTGGTGACAAGGGTTCACTGCATATGCTTGCATTGGGGGGTCGAGGGGGAGTACATAAGTCTCCAACTGATTGGATCAAAAAGCAAGACAACTTTATTGGATGAAGCACAATAATCCAAGGCCATAATAGCAAGTTGATTTTTTTTTTAAGGCACTAGGAGGCTTGTCAATATGTGGGATTTATTTCTTAAGTAACATCATTCCAAACCTGAGCTGTCAAGCAGCCTAAATATGCCAGATGTTTCTACTCAACATGTAACTACTCTTTTATGTTGCTAGCAAGAAGTGCTGTGGTTGGGTGCCAGGGGTGCTTTCTTCTCACTGTGCTAATGTCAGATTCCTGCAAGTAACTATTTTTTATTTTTAAATATGTGCAAGTGGCCTTTAGATACCAACTGTTTTGCCTTACGTGCATAATTCCATATTGATGGTTTTCTCCTTGGTCGTTTGTAAGTGTGGAATGTGGAGTTCTCAGCCCCTCTTTCAATTGTTTCTCCCTTCAAATAAGTCACATCTGACTGCTATATATGTACCTGATCTATATTTTTTCACATCACAATCATTAACACATTCAAGGTCCAAGTTGTGTATTTCTAGAACAGCACCAAGGAATAGGACTGTAAAAAAAAATGGTTTGTGTTTCTGACTTGGGTTTTCTTTAATAAAAGGAAAGGCAGGAATTTGAGGCATGGAGCAAACTTTCTATTTATTTTAAAAGCCATCAAAGACTACTCCAGCCAATCAACACTAGTCTTCTTGCCAGCATACCTTTTGTAACTTTTACACTGGAGTGTACATTTTTAAAGCACGTATAAGGGCTCCTGTTAACAGACTTTCTGCGGCCCAACTCTGTACATACTTGCTCAGAAGCAAGTTGCACTGAGTTTGGCGTGGTTTATTCCCAAGTACATGTGTGTAGCATTGCAGCCTGGCTTACTCAGCATAAGTGAGGGCATGGAAGAGGATTAGGGAACCTTTTTCTTGTACAAAATTTCATTTCGGTGAGGGACTTGGTGTTAAGAGCCTTAGGTTTGTGGTTTTTTTCTTCTTTTAAATCTAAGAATCATACTTACATTGTGATCTGATCCAATAAGTAGATACATGATTTCAGTAATAGCTTTGTATTTGTTATACATGCCTTTGTGGTGCCTTCTTTCTCTTTGCCAGTATTCACAAAAGCCAGTCTTAGGCTTAAGGGTGGCCCCAAAGCATCCTGCAGCTTTGACACAAAACACGAGAAGGTGGAGCCTTTTCTAGCATGTTTGTACCTCTTAGTTTAATTTCACTGGCCCGAAATCTGCTCCTCTTCTTGCTGATTTTGCCTTTAAGTCAGTTGACAGGCTTGCTGTACACATTTGGCGGGTAAGGTACCCAAAGGGTAGAATTGTGCTGTACAGCATGGTGAATCTTATACATAGGGCGGTTGTCCTGCTAATGCCCACACTTGTTTGCCTTCCAGTTGTCATTTTGCCTGGCAAATTTAAAGTTTCAGATTAGAAGGTAGGATGACCAGTGTGACCAGATGGGATTCGAGGAAAAAGTTGGTCAGATGTGGGCCATTAGCTCAAATTCTTGCCAAGTCACTGTCCACATAACCACCTCTTATGTAACTGCTATTTCCCCATCTGGTTACTGGATCCATTTAGCCCGGAACTGGTGCTTGGTGGATTGTGTTTATTTGAAAGCGTACCTTTAATGAGTCATGAAGGTAAATAACTTGGCACCTCCCAACAGTATCAGTCAAATGGGAGGAAGCAGCCTGCCAATTTATTTTAAATTACACCGCAGCACAGGACAACCTTTATCATTCGATGCTGATTATGCCTTAGTACTGTTTGACGAAACCTTTCCGGCTTGAAATGTAGGCAGTAGTTGAATCTTATGCTCTTGATTCTATTAAGTTGGAGCAGAGAAGTCATTTGGAAGTACAGTATATTTTACAGAGAAGCATTATCTCTTCCTCTGTAATATTGATGTGCATAAATGTTCTCTCGTGTGACCAGTTATCCACTTGGTGTGTAGTAGAGGCAGTTTCTCCCACAAGATAAGGTGCATAATTTGTGGTTGCAAGTGATCAACCATTTGGTTAACTTTAGCAGCCCACATGGGTGAAAGCATTCAGTTTTCCTCTTGAATGAATAAAGAGATGGGCGTGTGTTTGTGGATGGGGGGCTTCTGTCATCAAATGGGAATTTTTTTTATAGTTACGTTTTTGCAACAGAAATGTGAAAGGAATTCCTGTTAGTTGACCTTTGTTTAGCCTATGAAATTGGTAGCATTCATATACAGATTAACTTTCTGGAAGACAGAGAAAACCCCAAGTTTGATTTAACGTTTATTCTTCCAAGGTTGGAGAGAAGGGAGTGCGGAAAGACATGTGTTATACCTACTGTATTTATAGTTTGGGAACTTGCCTAACCTGCACAAAACTGAAGAGTTAATGATCTTGCCACTTGCCAGTTTCTTACAAAAATGATATTTTTTATGTACATATGCATTCTTAACAGAATTTCAGACATTCTGCTTCTAGCCATCCAAAATAGCAAATGTTGGTCTAATTCTCACAGACATTCCCCCAGCCCACCATCCTCAGACTTTTGAACATGGGATGATAGTTGCATGAGAGCCAGAAGTGTGAGCAAGAGCAGCTCCTTGTAGCAATTCCTTAAATGTTCCTCCTGTATTAATGTGACTTCCAAAATGCCTTTTCACTCCTATAGCCAAAGATGTTTTAAATTCCCATTCTAGTTGTCAGTCTAGGAGCATTTGAGGAATCACTCCTTTGCCTAAACCCGGGCGGTGGAAGGTGGAATCTGTGGCCCTCTTGATGCTGCTTGATTCCCAGCTCCCAGGAGCCCCGGCGGGCACAGTCAAAGGTCAGAATTATGGGAGTTGCAGTCCAGCAACAAGGCCACAGCTGACATGTCTCACTTTTGCCCTAAAGATAGGCAGGAGTGTTAATATTTAGAATGATTGAAGTCATCTCAGAACTGGTATGTCTGGGGAAATTCTGTGCATGTATTATTGTTAGCCACGGGATAGTTGTGCCATTGAAAGAGCCTGCTGGCTTGGACCACTCTGAGAGGCAGTTCCTACTGAAGGGGAACAACCCAATTGGCTGCATCTAATGTTACTCTGAGTGCAGAATGCGGCTTGGATTCTGCTTCACAAGTAACAAGAAGGGTTGAGGTGGTCCTGAAGTCCTTTCTGCAAACATAATCCAGGAGGAAAAGTCTTTGCCCTCATCCTATGCCCTTTGATGTCATGACACTATGGATTCCCATGTTTTGGATGATGCATTGTCCACATGCTCTCTGTTGGGTCATATTTATATAAGATAATTGGCCATTCTGCTTATTTTGTTTATAGTGAAATAGAATTTCTTTTAAAAAGAAAAGCTGTGGGTTATATCCAGTGTTAGTCATACTCCATCAGAGTAGACCCATTGAAATGAATGGGCATAATTAATTTGGGCTCACTCATTTCAGTGGGCCTATTCTGAGTAGCACTTGTAGTGACTACAACCCAGAGAATTAAAATTGCATGACTTATATATATATCAAGGGATGCCTTTTTAATAAGGTCACTTTTGCTCAGCAGGCAGAGCCTTGAGGAACAAAGAGAACAGGTGGAGCACTTCTCTCAAAAGTGTGCAGAGCATTTGTGAAATCATTACACTTGTCTGACTCACACACGAACCAGTGTGCCGCATTCTGGGCACGGAGGGGTAGGAAAGCAAACCTCAGGTTCCCCACCTCTGTCAAGTCCTTCCTGTGGGACTCCAGCTCTCATGAGCCCCAGCCAGCACAGCTGAAGATCAGGCCTCTGTAACAAAAGTATTTTCTGTGGACTCGGCTCAACATGCATTTGTGCACAAATTGTTTCTGTTTTATGTTATCAGCCTCTAAAAGTTGTGGGCCACAGAAATTGGTCTAGCCTATCTTACTATGCTAGAGCTATGTGCAAATATTAACAGTGACAAAGAGCAACCAGTTTAGAAATCTGGCCATTCTAGGGCCTACCAGTGTCTAAATGTAACACACGAAGGTGTTCTAATTCATACTAAAAGTGTTATGTATAGTGGGGGGCTACATGTGAGAGCTGAGGTCTGGCTTCATTCCCTAGTGCTTGAAGCATATTTTTTTTTGGGGGGGGGTGGAACCTTGGTTATCACTCACCTGCCTACCTGCCTTTCTGTGAAATGTTGCTTTAAGAGGCAATGCTAAATCAACCCTTCATTCTAAAAATGAATAACTGTCCCCTCCCAGCTGTGACTTTTATTCCATGTTAAAACCACAATTGCTTAGATACAGTCAAGTTCCTTCTTATCCTTTTGAACATACCTGAAAAGGTTGTTCTGAGCAAACCGTGTTTTAAAAATATATATCATCCTGTTTTATCTGCTCAACTGTTGCATCTGGGTGGGCGGGGGCACAGATTCCCAAGAATGGGCAGGGCATCGATTTGGCGTTTGTACAGAGATACCTGGAATCTCTTATGATATATTGTAATATGCTTCTCTTTTCACTTTTCTGGAATATCTTTTACAGGTATACTGGCAAACTGCTGGCAGCTGTTTTAAAAAATAAAATTTATATTTTTCACTTAATATGATATTGGCTATTTCTTCTCTGGATTTCTGGGGCAGGGGCTATAGCTCAGGGGGTAGAGGGCATGCTTTGCATGAAGAAAGTCCCAGGTTTAATCCTAAAATGGGAAGGACTCCCATCTGAAACCCTAGAGAGATGCTACTAGGCAGTGTAATCCAGCTTTCTCTAACCTAGTGCCTTCTAGATGTTGCTGGATTCCAGCTCTCATCAGCCCTGACCACCAAATGACTGTAGACATTACTCCGAATGACTGTAGCTTTGCAGTGCCTCACCTCAAGAGAGGTCTTTCCCATCACCTACAGATGTGATTCCCTACAGATATTGCTGGACTACAACTCCCATCACCCCTGGCCATTGGCCTTGCAGGCTGGGGCTGATGGCTGTTGGCATCAGCAACATCTGGAGGGTGGAAGGTTGGTTTAGGCCAGGGTTTCTCAAACTTGGGTCTCTACTGTTGTTGGACTACAACTCCCATCATACCTAGCTTTCAGGACCAGTGCTCAGGGATGATGGGAGTTGTAGTCCCAGTTTGTAGTCCCAGTTTGAGAAACACTGATTTAGGCAATACCAAGCTAGATGGATCTAAAGGGGGCCTGCGTCGATATATGGTAGCTTCTTATGTTCCTACATCTGTTTTGCTAGCTTTTGAATTTGAGCTTCAGATGTGGGAAATATATGAGATTGGTTTGGAAGTTGAATTTGAAATGAACATTTTGAAGGAAGCTGTTTGCTCAGAGAACAGCCAAGAAACTTGCACATTAGCTAAGAATTTATCTCTGTGCTGCTTGATAGCAAAAAATGGCCCTCAAGGTGGCTCACAAAGGATGACACATACCCACAAAATCAAGACAACAAAATCTTAACATATCAAAACTAAATAAAAACAAAAAATCCAAATTCATGTTCCTGCCAAATGTAGGGAGCAGTCCCCACAGATATGTCACAAAGAGCAGGAGTAAATCCTACAAGAGGGTGGGGCAGGGCAGATGGAAAAATGCTCTCCTTGGCCTCTCCCCTGCAAGTGAGTTACCAGGCACAATCTGAACAGCAGGATTGGGGAAACTCCTGCAACTGGTGCTATGCTTTCATTTGTCCGGTAGGTGTCTCCCTCCACCAACACATACAGTACAGTGTCTCTAGAGAAGAGCACCTGCTTTGCTTGCAAAAGGTCTCGGGTTCAATTCCTGACATCTCCAGGTAAGGCTGGGAAAATCCTTAGGTGAAATCCTGGATAGCGGATGCCAGTCAGTATTGACAATACTGACTTGCTGTAAGGAAACACCTTTAGTTTCTCAAGGCGGATATTTTAATCCAGCAGCTGATAGGAATTTCAAAGTGACATGTATGTTGCATTTCTGCAAACCTTGGGGTTGCCCTGAGGCTACTGAAGCTTTGCCTGTGTGGTGACATTCTGGCTACAGAAGGGTCACTGCTCCGGGAATAAGTTCACTACTGGTAAAAGTAATTGAGTCTAAATAGAAAACAGCACACACAGAACTCAACTGTGAAGGCTGCCTATTTTGCCAGCAGAAAAGTGTAAGAAGTCATACTTCTCTTCCACACAGCACCTAAACTATGGAATTTGCTCCCAGAAGATGCAGCGATGGTCACCAGCTTGGATGGCTTTAAAAGAGGATTAGACAAATGCCTGGATGATAAAGCTACCAGTGACTGCTAGCCGTGATAGCTATGCTCTGCCTCTGTGGTGAGAGATGGTACGCTTCTGAATACTAGTTGCTGGAAACTGCAGGAGGGAAGAATGCTGTTGCACCCTTTGCCACAGTATAAACCCTGAAGCAGGCCTGGAACGCAGCCGTTTTAAGAAGGTTCTTTCATTACAGGCTCCAGGTTTTCAACAGAAAACTGTTCTGAGGCTGGCATGTAATTGAAGCCAGCAGGGGAGAGAGAGCCACGTCTGAGATGCACTTTCTCGAGGGTTGTGGCTTTCTGGGCACCTTTTGAAGTGGTTCTTCGTACCTGTTACTTTAGAACCTCATCCGAACACCATTTCAAAGCCAATCTGTTGAATGGGGAAGACCAGAAACCGTGACCCTCTTTCTAGATCTTCCATCGGCCTTTTTAGATACACTGTGTTGCTGTGCTGGCTTTGATAAAACGCCTTCATAGTCCTGATGAAGCAAGCTCTCATGGGTGACCTTGGGCCAATGGTCCACTTGACACATTGTACTAAGGATTAAACCCTGTTTTATGTTAACTATGACTAAAGATGAACACCTAGCATGCCGGGACACACTTCTCAACATTTGGAAGGCCACAGGTTAACCAACCCCTGTATATAGGATAGCACATATGCCCCCCTCATACATGATCACATTTTAGTACCTGACTGTGCCACTCTCTTGATCCAGCCCCAGTTCATAGGTGATAGCGTAAAAGGTAAAGGTACCCCTGCCCGTACGGGCCAGTCATGTCCGACTCTAGGGTTGTGCACCCATCTCAATCAAGCGGCCAGGGGCCAGCGCTGTCCCGAGACACTTCCGGGTCACGTGGCCAGCGTGACGAAGCTGCTCTAGCGAGCCAGCACCAGCGCAGCACACGCAAATGCCGTTTACCTTCCCGCTATAAAGCGGTACCTATTTATCTACTTGCACTTAGGGGTGCTTTCGAACTGCTAGGTGGGCAGGAGCTGGGACCGAAAGACGGGAGCTCACCCCACCGCGGGGATTCGAACCGCCAACCATGCGATCGGCAAGCCCTAGGCGCTGAGGTTTTACCCACAGCGCCACCCGTGTCCCAGGTGATAGTGTAGATGACTTTAAAAGGGAATTAAGCCAAGCCAAGGTAAATAAGCCTTATAAGTGGCTACATCCATGATGGCTGTATGCAGCCTCCAGCTTCTACCGCTGCATATCAGTTGCTTAGAGGCAGCAGTGATGGATGGCTATTGCACTCATGTCCTGCTAGTGGTCTTGCCAGAGGTGTTGGATTGGACACTGTAGGATGCTGGAAGGGAAGTGAGGATTGGTCTGATAATCTGCTCTTATATTTTACGAGATGCCCAAGGTGCAAAATTGCCTGTGACCAGGACCCATCACTACTTGATCGCAGCCCATATCAGCAATGCCCTCGCTCCCAAAAAGGGGGGTTCACAGAGCAGAAAGAAACAAAGGGCAAACTGGCACTGCTTTTAACTAACTCTCTCTCTCTCTCTCTCTCTGTGTGTGTGTGTGTGTGTGTGTGTCTTGCCAACCACTCCCTTCTGATGCTGGAAGTTTTCCAAGGATGGAGAAAAGGCAAACTCATGATCCTTTTGATGGGAGGCTTGTGTTCTTACCACTGGACACACAGATGAATAAACTGGTTTCAAGACAAAGATCAAGCAAAGGAACTTCAAAAAGGAGAATGCCAAATGACATCTCCACATCTTTGGTGCTCCAGGCAGAGGGCTTGGTGGGGCATCATCAGAGTTGTTTTTTTGGTCAGGTTTTCAAAACAAGGATTTTGCTAAACCAAGGCTCTGATGGAAGCTAGATTGCTTTTTGAAGCAAGAATGGTGCAACTCTGGGAGACAGGGGCAGTTTTCTCTGGCTTCTTGGCCCTGCAGCCTAAAGAGTTGGGGGATATATGTACTTGTGTCTCATCTGTATATGGAGGTGTAGAGGGGCTTTGTGGAGATCCTGCAGGATGGGGACTCCCAGAGAGAGGGTTTCATGTTCCATGAGACTCTGTTCTGGATGACGTGACTGAACTTACAGGATTTGGATGGTGGAGTTTGAACGGAAAAATATGTCCCCCTAAACATGGGGCTTTGTCTTGGGCCTTTGGGGCCACAACCTGCCAGGCGTTTTGTCCTGGTTCCATCTTGGCCTAGCACATTTTGCCCAGGCATTGGACCCAAGGTGACAATGGTGAAAGAAAATAGCCACCTACCTCTATGTTCATTGGAAGGCTAGTATGGGAAATTCAGGCAACTTAGCAAGGCTAGATTGGTTTTCCCCACTGCACCCACAGCTGCAAGACTGGAAGCTGGTGGAAGAGTTTGTCACCTTTGAAAACAAAACAGAAATTACCGGTAGTTTGGCAAATGTCGTCTCGGCTGTGTGTCATGATGGTTGTACCCCTGGGGCCTGACTTGATTCATAATTAGGCTTGACAAACCAAAACATTTACCCACCCACAAACCAGCTCAATTTTTGGCAGCCAGTTTTGAAGCAAAGTCAGAGCCTGCCATGTTCCTGAGGATGGCGGGAGTGCAGAAGGGTCCAACAGTTTTCCTGCCCCTTAAAAACAAAGCAAAACCTTATGTGGTGGCAGCTGCTGTTACTGCTGGTGGAAGGAGAGCAGGGATATGGGAAATCTTCCCATTCATGTAAGGGCTGCCATCATGATTCTGGAGGGGCAGCTGGTGGGGGTGGGGGTTGGAGAATTCTAACGGAAACATATACTGGGGCAGAAATTGCCGATCGTAGAGTTGGAAGGGACCCAAAGGTCAACTGCCCTGCAGTGATGTTCGCTTATTTATCACACGTCCCAACTGGAAATGAACCCAGCGAACATGATCTGTATTCACTGTTGTTGCTTTCAGTCTGCAAATGATACGGAATTGATTACGTTCAACACACCATTTGCATTGTATTTCCTTCGCATTGAAACAAACGAGGGAATGGCAGCAGACTTTACATGATTATTTAATTTCGCCACTGCGGACAGCGAGACAAATAACGTGTTTTGGCAGAAGGTGAACTACAGTGGAATAGAAACCACGCTGCGTGCAACGAACAGAGAGTGGAATGGAGCCTGCTTCCATCCCAATGGATAGCCCAACTGCCAGTTCCTTCTGCCCCCCTGCCTAGAGCAGAGGATTCTGGAAAGATGGGCCTGGTTCTAGGGGGTGGGCAAGCCCTCCCTTTCAGTGCCCACTTGTGGGTGGGAAAGTGACTTCCGAGCAGATCCCGAGGGCTCTGGCACACATGCTTGCCCAGCCTTGTTCTGGTTTTATAACCAAGAGGCGAGCAGTTGGCTGCGTGTCAGGATGGTT